GCTCGCTGCCGACAAAAATGCCTTGTTTTGCTCCGCTTAACTCTCCTTGTTAGCCACGGTGACATCTTGACGAAACTCCAGGATGAAAAATAAGAGTACAGCCGCGGAGAATCTCATGGGAGTCCCGTATTTTTCGCGCTTTAATTAAAATTAACATCGTCTTCTTCATGAAAAATATGATTCCCCTGATTCCGCAGACTGTTGAGAGACTTAGCAAAGAATTTGATAAAAAGTCCTCTTCGGCTCGTGCTGATTTTTAACGATCTTCCAAACTTTTATTCGAAAAAAAAAAAGATCACTTAATAAATAATCTAATTACAATTATTTTCTTCCGTATGTATGATTATAATCTATTTCTTTACGGACGAGTACAGTGTTATTTCGTCTCTCAGAAATTACGGAAAGCTGTCGAAGCTGCTGAAGAAATTCGTTACTATTATAAATGCAATGGAAGATCTCTAAAATATCTATTAATTTATACAATTATCATTTATTATTTTTAATTAAATGAATATCTATTCTCTGAGGCAGTACCTGTACGATAATATTTTATTATCGTTGTTGCCATTTCGGAATTTAGCATTCGTTACCAAAGGGGAAAAAAAATCGATCGTAGCACGATCGTGACGAGACCGTTGTTCATTGCAGCTCTAATTAGAAGGCTTTGCCATTTCCGCCGAACGAATTAAGTCTAATCGCTCGCGACAAGGAGATAGGCAAGCGCGTTTTCTCGCGGGGTGGAATTAGAGATAAAGACGCTAAAATGCGAAAGAGCGGGAGGGGGGCGAAGAGTGAAAGAGGGGTTCACGACCCTCCGGGGTCGAAAAAAAGTTCGAGAGCACGAAATTAGTCGTATATACTCGCGGCGAAGGAGAGCGTTAGACGACGCGCCCCCGGGGTCTCGATCCCCGCTCTCGCGCGCAGTCCCGTTTTATTCGATAATTATGCAAATGCCGGAATGATTGTCGGGCAATATGTCCTCGGAATAAAAGTACCGGGCCGGAGCAATTCGGTTATCTTTATGATTTTCGGGTCGGCCGTCGTCGTAGTGCGAAGGAGAGAGAAACGCGGCGGAATCAAAGGGGGGCAGGAACCAAAGGGGGGGGGGGGAGGGAGGGGCGAAAGGGGGAGAGAAAGGCTCGTCAATCCTCGGCGACAAGAGTCAAGCCCTTCATTTGCATCGAAACATGGCCCTCTGGCTTCGCCTCCTTATGCGCGAATGCGACGACGCATTGCGATCAACGTCGTTATTTTAGCAGCAGTGAAATATACGTACTTGAATTAATGCCTTCCTGCATGGTTGCGTATCTTCGATCGAACTATTATATTACACAGGAAGAAAAATATATAAAAATTTATAAAATGCATATAAAGATAAAAATCGTACGACGCTCGTATATGTTTGTTACATTTTAGATTGCATCCTCTCAAGGATTTCTGATAACGAGAAAAAAAAACTATTCTTGACGTATTTTTTTAATTTTATAACAACTTTATGAAGTATAAAAATAAAACGATATAAGATTAGATAATAATTCCTGTTTCTTCTACCTCGAAAATAAGCTTATATTAATTAAATAAGACCTGTTATCTTGAGACGCGAGTAACGTATGTAAATTAAAAAAATTCATATATTCTTACATTTATTAAATCTTCTCCCCATTTCATATTATAATACACGATGCTGGTGCGGGTATTTGGCACGAAACCAATTGTCCAAGATATTTTATTTTAGATTTGAGAGAGAGAGAATTTTCTATTTAAAAGCAAAAGAGAGATTAATCGACTGTTTTCACAAATGGAAAATAGGGTGAAAATTGATGCATAAGCGAATCGCTATCTAGGATTTATTTCACATTCGGACTAATTCGATCGATCAGAGTGTTAATTACTGTCTCTAATTGCGTATTCCCTACAATTAGCCTCGAGTTTTAGTAGCTCCGGCTCTGCTTCTTGACTCCGCTGGCGCTGTACCAACCGCTCAGCAGCTCGACAATGAAATGAAAACGTCTAATTAACGCGCGGGAATGAGCAATTAAGACATTGACGTAGCGATCTCGCTGAATGACTGATTCAATTAAGAAGCCTTCTGTGTCTGGTGCTTCGGTGCGAAGCGTGCTCGTGTGGTATATTATCGTTATATTTACTATTAAAATATATTCCTCGCGCCGAAAGGGTGGAGCCTGTCTCGACCAATGGGATCTCGTCGCGTGCCTCAGGTCGTTACGGAACCTGCAAATTGATAAGAATACATCGCCGTACCCTTCAGTCCTTCATTAGCCCTCTCCCGCTTCTCCGTCCAAGCGAAGATGTCGGACGCGGAATACATTTTTATTCGCACCCAGGGCGATCGCCTTATCGCGCCGTTCTTGTCGTCATCTCTCAAGGGCCGTGCAATTTGTCTATTCCCTAGAAAAGATCCGACATGCGTACAAAGTGGAAAACACGTGTACTTTTTACGCGCTTCGACGAGCTGAAAAATGGAATAACAGTCTGATTCATTAACCACGGGTTTTTATTCTTTTCTCAGGTGTAAAGAGTTCAGGGGAGAGGAAAAAGCTTGGAAGTTCTTGGGACAGCATTTACGTGAAACGAATTTAACGTGTGAGAAGAAAATGCAGATAATTGAAAAATAGAAGAGAGCCCTCCAAGAACGTCAGGAAAAGGATCACGTGGTGGTATCGAATGAAAGAAAAATCCGGCTTACAATAACAACTATTTATTTATAGGTAATAATGCTGAATTACAATGAATACACTTCTTGCATCTCGATACTAGATTGTATAAGTCCGGTCGCGAAATCGGCGTCACTAGTCACCGTCGCCGTGACTCGCATGTGTGGCGACAACAAAGTCCCCATGTCCCCCTTCCTTCCACATTCCCAACTCCGCTCCGCAAACGTCTCGCACTTTTCTTCTTAACGCGCCCCACGTCACCCTTATGCCATCCCCACCTCGGTTCAGTAACATTTTTCTCAATCGAAAACCGTACGTGCTGCATGTTCGGCGATCATCTCGACGTTCGTTTTATTGCACCGAAAATTAAACGATATGAAATATATTCGCTATGCTTTCTCTCATCTACAGTGATAGTTTGTGCGTATCGATAATCATCAATGTGGCTTATCTCGCGTGAGAAATCGGTTCAATCGGTCGCTCCATCAATCTCTGTTCTCGAGATTTAATTTGTACTAATTGGCAAATCCGGCCAAAGTCCTTACAATCGACTTATCGACGACGAGAGGTTGAACCTGTCCGGTTCTCGATCGTGAAAAACGTTACCTGAATGCCCTGTCAACCCTCTCAATCTCCCACCTTCCTTTCCTTCCGTCAATCGGTAGCGGCGATGGCAAATACGGATCGAGCTATCGGTGGTTAAATTTTCGTTTCTCTACGTTTAGCATCGTCTTAACGGGCTTTAGCTGGTACGATACTAGACACTATGATTATGTGAACTTTACAACACAAGAACCTTACGGCAAAAGACTTTGTACATGGATCTTAAATACGGGGACCATCCCCGGGGAAATATCCTTGGCGCCTTCCTCGCTCTGTATCGCGCGCATCTTACGGGTCTCCGTCGAAATGTCCTTTTCCTGCCATTTCATTGTTTTTCTCCTTCTATTTGTTTTTTTCTTTTTTTTTTTTTTTTGCACTCGTCAAGAGATATTTCGCCGGATTCTTGGGCGGTCAACGCAAACGCGGGACACACGCAATATGGATTAGACTTACTTGTTTCGGTAGTAACTAAGTTATTTATATAAATAAGGTGTTACGATTTAAGACGCTAGGAGAGAATTCTCCGTTGTTTCCGTTTTTACCGTACATACGCAATCACACACACACATGCGTACGCATATACTCGTAAGATTCTTTCTATAAGACACTTCTACTCTCTCACTTTTCTCTCTTTCTCTCTCTCTCTCTCTCTCTCTCTCCCTCTCTCTCTTTCTCTATATATCTACTGTTCATTCTTTCTTCATTCAGTCGATCATTTTTTTTTTTTCATCACGTCATTCTTATTCTCTCACTTTCTCTCTTTCCCTCCCTCTTTCACTTTTTTTATGATACAGCGTTCGAGTCGCGGCTCTAATCTCGTTCCGCGTTTGAAACCAGAAGAGACTCACTCGTCAATTTCCGCGCTCTTATGCGCATTTTACAAAAAAAGCCGGCGCGTTTCTCGGCGCTGCGACGCGTGCCTAGTAAGAGAGACGGCGTTCTCGAAAGGAAAAGAGAAAAAAAAAGAAGAAAAAAAATCGTCGCGACGTCGAGATGTGTCGATCGGCGCCGCCGAAGACGCCGATTACCGAGTAATATCGAATCGGGCCGGTCGCGACGAGAGGGCCCGCGACTCGACATTCGTTTTGCAGTGGCGATCGGATCGGGCCTCCGCGCCGCCGCGGCGACGTAGTATAATAATATTAATAATGATAATAATACTCGAAATCGGCGCGGCTCGCGACGACCGCGTGGCGCGGCCGATCGCCTGGATCCCTTAAAAACGATTATCTAGTTAATTCGCTCGATAATTAGGAGATAGGTACCTCTAGGAACGCATGCACTCACGCACGCACTCTCCAGCAGTCTTTAGAAATATGCCTCTCTTATCTCCCTCCCTCGTCTCTCCTCCGCCTCTATTTCTTTCTCTCTCCTCGCTCCCCGATTTCTGCCCCGCCTATTCTGTCCGCGATCGTCTCGGTACCGCGAGAGTCGCGCAATGTCCGGGTTCATCGTCCATCACGGGTACAATTGATGGCGCGTTTACATTTTAGAGAATATCTCCCTTCGGAATTCCGCCGTCGTCGAACGAACGACGCGACTCCGCGATCACCGCGAACGCGAATTGGGAGATCGGCGAATATCGCGTCGTTGATATGTGTGTGGATCGGTCCTCGTTGCGAATGCTGACCGATGCCGGACCGATCTCAATTCGAGGGCCCCGAATTTATCTTTCTACCCTCTCCGCCCCCCCACCTCACCCCCTCCCTACCCCTCGCCCTTCTCTCTCATCCCTCCGAGTTTTCCTCCCTTCGAGCGTCGGAAAACGTGATCGCGGCTCTGTACAAACGCGTAAATATAGCCGGCACGTTTTTATTCGTACGGTCGAAATCGAGTCTACTCTCTCTGCCGCTTAGCGCTCGTCCGTACGATTCTATCCGGAACTTACGAGTCTCCCGACGATAAAGTACTCTCGCGGAGCCTTCCGATTACTCTCGGTGTACTTCGCACTGCTCGCCGAGCTGTACAATAAGTCCGCGCGGTCACTCGCGCGAGATCATCACTCGGAGTTTCGCTCTTCCCCGTCGAGTCCTTCCGTACGTTCCTTCTTCCCGCGGTCGACCATCACGATTCCGTTTCTTCACGTTTGCCTCTCGTTGTGCGAGTCCGCTCTCGTGGTTTCGAATTGCGCTTTCTGCTTTGCTGTCCGATCGATCACTCGCTTCGGCTGCTCGCTGCACGATCTGCCCGATCTGCCTGCTGCCCCCGTCTGCCGTCGTCCGGCCTCTTCTAGGTCGCACTCGTAAACAGAACGGAGTTCTTGTAGTAACCCGTCCGCGACTCTGAAACAGAAGCGATCGCAGGTGCACTTTGGAGTCCGTGTTCCTTTAATTGCGTCACATCGAGCGCGTGAATTTTACTTATCGGATATATGAAAACGTGTCGCGCGTGTAATAACAGCGAGGAAAATGAGAGGGGGAGGAGGGGGGGGGGTTGACGTATTGAGCGCTAAATTTAGATCTTACAGCACCGATGTAGCCATGAGTGTTAGGCGTGTCGCGACTCTTAATGGGAATACGAGAGAAGGAGCGGATGTCTCGCGGATGAAGACGCATACAGGAGATGAATGGTCGTGGGCGTAATTCCGCTACGGGATCGAGCTCGTCGGATGGATTCGGTGGTAGGTGCCTTACGGTGGTGCGGCGCGATATGGTGAAGGTGGACCAGCTGGGTCATTCGATGATCGTTCGTTGGGAAGAAGGCGCCGCTCACTAATTATCGTTGGCTCTCGAGACGCAGATGAACGCGCAGGAGGGACGCGCGAGGTGGATGAAGAGATGGACGAACCGAGAGTCGAGAAAAAGGGCGAAAGGGAATGGGAGAGGGAGAGAGGGAGGGGGGGTGGAGGGAGGGAGGGAGAGAGGATTGAGTGTCAGACCCTATCGTGTACGCATACGTTCGTAAATACGAGTCCGGCCGAGTCATCGGCCTTAGCGCGGCCTTTGTGATCGAGCCGCCACTCTACTTTTTATCGAACTGTCGCTTATGATTGAAAATCACTATACGTTAATAGTCCGCGTGATTCGGTTTACTCGTCCTCTCCGCGCACCACTGTCGTTCGGATCGCTTCAATCTGCTCGACCTCTGCGATAGCCATCTCAGGATACGTCATTTTGTTCGATTCAACATGCGTTGTTTCAGTAATATTTTATTCTTTTCTTAATGTATGGTTCCAATCATTCGGTGGAAAAAAAAAAAAAAAGAAAGCTTGAATAAATTTTAGCAACAGTTATATTATTATAGAATATTATTATCATGTATTATCATACATTATCATATATTATCGTGTATTGTATAATATTTGTTACGTAATATGTATTATTTTGAATCAATAAATTTCGTAATAAGAGACAAAATCGGTAATGAGAGCGCTTTCGCGGAAATGCTACTTTACCACTTAATTTCATTTCTTCTTGCGGTACAGATCTACCGCAGTAAGTAACATTACCGTGGATAAAAAGCTCTGGCCCAAGATGTGGGAGTTGATTTTGCAAGGACGTTGCCAATTAAGAGCAGACTTGTTAATTCCTTTCGAGAGCCCCCCCGAGAGAGGGTGGGCGTGCGGGTGAAAAACGATTATTTACGTGCAACGTCACGCCGGCCGGGGCCTTGGAGCATCGAAATCGCGCTACGGATATAGTTTTTGCGCGAGTTGGAAACTTCCTTCGGACAAGTTTCCACGGAGGAGAGCGAGGCCAAGTTTCGAATATGCCGGGGCTATGCCGCTGACGCCTTTGCAAGAACCGTCTCGCCCACCCTCCCTCGAGACGCGACCGCCCCTGAAGAGTTTCTAATTAAAGATCCGAACTTTATTCCGTACAGCAAGAAATCGCTCTACGCGTACTACACGAAAACCGCGCTCTCCGAATGCGAGAACGCGAGAGAGGAACTTTTTCGAGATCGCGAATATACTCTATCGTATTCGTGAAAAGATGCGCATGGCGGAACACGAAAAAGAGTGATACGCATGAATAAAATGAAGTAATTGGAAGAAAAAGGAAAAAAAAGAAATTCTACGGAATAAACACGCGCGAAAATA